CATAATCCGTCACAAGAGTCGCAATAAATTTCCTCAAAATAAATTTTTTTCAAAATGAAAAGCATTATTAGGCTCAAGGACAAATCTTAAGGTATGCCATATAGTAAGATCTAAGGTGTACGGTAGAAGGTAGGAAATTAACATCGCATATCCATCTGAAACTTCCCTGGGGTGTGTTATATAACTCCTCCACGCAAGATTTCGGACGGATTCGCGATGTTGACTTCCTACCGTATTTACCGTACACCTGAAATTTCGCTGTAGTACGGCACACCTTAAAAGTGGTTTTGAAAAGCTTAGTCTAACGCTGTTTTTCCTTTTAAAAAATATCTATAATGAAAGAAGTTATGACGATGGGACCCTTGCGACAAATTTCTATGTGAAACTACGTTTTTTTGCAGAAGCTAAGAGCGGTAATGCAGTAATATTTTTAAAAAAACAAAAATTGGCAACACCTCTACTAAATTCTTCTAAATTTTCTTCAAAGTGGTTACCAGCAAGGAATCAAATTGTCTGCAAAAGCGGAAAAGAAGAATTGAATATGTGAGAGAAGTATGATATTATTAAAGTGCAAGTTATGTGAGGCTTATTGAATCGAAAAATTCGACTAATTATGCACAAATTTAGTGTTTTTTGTTGTCTCTGATTTGATTTTCTGAGTTCTTTTTTGTACTCGAATGGTTTTAGTAATGCATAATGTACGTATTCACAGCATAAGTAGGAATATAGATATAGAATACATTTTGGCCCATATCACAGAGCTTTCTGGTTAATCCTGCCCAAGAAAAAAATCAATCGATACTTTGATTTGTTCTCTATCATACGTTGAAATACAGTACACCTCAGTTCACCCTGACCTACTCCATATCTACATTAATGGCAAACACGCCAGTTGAAGTGCTTTATCCACCCGATAATGGGGACTACCCTCTCGCATTATTCTTCAGTTTTTCAGAGTAAGAAAATTTCCCAGCGATAAGCAAGGATATGTAGGAATATTTCTAAAGAAACAACAGCGAGTTATTATAGGAAATGCAGAAATTACAATATTATGTGTCCATTTCGTTCGACAAACAAATGTGAGTCAATTTTACCGCCATTTTTCTATATTCAGTGCACTTTTTGATAGCTATATACATATGAAATGTAGCAAATACAGTG